TAATAACTGTGTGAGATATATATTGAACAGAACCCCCTGTTAACTATAGCCTACAATTCAACTTTAAGTTTGTATTATTTTCATGAAGCTTACCAAGGATAAACCTTGAAAAACCAGTGAAGCACTTGAGTCCAGATTTGTTCATTTTTTTTTTTTTCAGATTTGTTTGGGGGGGGGATGAAATCCACTGCTAAGATTACATGTAGAGTCCAATTTTCCTTGTGGTGTGGAGATAGTGCAGCATCTCTATAATATCACTGTGCAGGTTTTCCAAATGAGAGTGAGTACAAATCATTGACACATTTATGATTTTCACTTTCCCAGGTTTAGACTCATGCTCTTAATCTTCATGTGTGTACATGGTCATGGTTTTCTCTCCCTCTGGACCTCACTCTGATTCTTTGTCCCTGTTCAGGTGCTTGGGGCAGAGTGGGTGGTGCTGTTTTCTTTTCTCTCCACTTTGTGTCCTCTTGTCTCCTCCTAGTGGCTGCTGTTCATTATTGCAGCGGTGGATAAGCACAGGGTCCTTGTTTGTGGGCGTTTTCTTTAACAACAGCCGCTGCAGCATCTGTTTGTCAGACCGCTCCCGTCGGAAGTCATCCTCATAAACCTTGAGCTGTAGCAATGTCAGAACACCAGACAGAGTCAGTAAAAGAAAACATGGAGTCGATGTGGAGTTGTGAAAATATCTCATCAAAGGCTTTTTTTTTTTTAAATTAAGCTTCATTTTAGATCATATGACTACTACACTATGCTTAAACTGCCATTGCACTACCCATACAGTAAATATTTAACTATATTTAGCTTACACATCCCACATTTAACCACTTCACCACTGGCACTGAAGTCTCTCGTTTGATTGACACAATTAACAAAATAATTGCAGCACTGCATGAATTTTCATTTGCCGAAGCACATCAGTTTTTGGTTTGTTTTTGGGTCAAGATCAAATTGCAGATACATGTGATCATTTATTTTTATGTGTGAATGTGTTGGTGTATGTCATATGCATTCGTGTGTGTGTTTGTGTGCATGTGCACAAACAATTAGAACAGTACCTGCTCTTGCAGTAGTGCCACTTGTTGACGCATCTCCTCCCTCTTCTTCCTCAGCCTGCGGTTCTCCTGCATTGTGTGTTTGTGGTCGTTATGCTCCGTCTGATATTCTGCTTCATAAATCTGGGTCTGCTGATACAAAACATCAATATGGCAGTGAGCCAGTATCAAAGCCATATCTTGTGACCTGCAGATATCTATTGTTATGCTGTGAGCAAATTTCAGAGAGGTACAGAGCCACCACTTGGTGGTGCAGTTCACCATCTGATTGCTCCTCCTAAACATTAAGCAAATCTTCCCCTGGCAACAGTGAGTTGACATCAGTTCTGCTCTCATCACAATGATGCTGTGCTGAAGAGAGCAGCCCACCTGACATCTTAGTGCCTCCAGCTGCTCTTTTAGATCCTGCACTTCTTGGTGGGAGTCTCCCAGTGCTCCCAGTGGGGTATTGCTGCTTTGGCTTTTTCCCTGCCATCCAGCCTCTGGGCTTGAAGAAGCTTTGGAAAAGGAGGAAGGGTTGTAACCAGATAAGTGGCTGGGTGAGAGGTCGGGATCTCTGGATGGTGGATTGCTGGTGGGGCATGACACAGGATCGCTTACCACAGCACTGAAGCTGCCCTTTAGTGAAAACAGAAGACAAAGTGATGATGAGAGAATATTGACAGAAATGAAAATGCACAATCTGATCAGATGCGCAAATCCACAGACAGGTACCTGTCTGACAGTTGTGCAGGCTCTCTCTGGGTGTTGCATCCTGCTGTCCAGCAGCCTGATGTATTCTTGCAGCTCCTGGTTCTTCTTCAGCTCCTGCATCAGAGCCTGCTCATAGTACTCTTTAGCACTCTGCAAACCAAAGTGAAATAGTAAACAGCCCACATGAAACCACAAATGTTAAACCTGTGATGATAACCCACAGTTTAGGAATCCCCCCATGTACTGTATCTACACCCACTTTTGAGGGTCTATACCAGTGCACCGAAGCAGGGGCTTTGTAGCATGCTTGAAGTACTTGAGTGTATTTACCTGTTGGTGCTCTACTTTGAGCAGCAGTCTACTGTTGAGCTGTTTGATGGCAGAATTCTCCAGCTCCAAAGCCTCCAGCCTGTGCTGTAGACCCAGTGTGGCACTCCGGTACACCTGGTCCCAGTCCTCATTCAGCTTCATCAGCTGTAACACACCACCACCACCATCATCATCATCATCATCATCACTGCCATTGCCCCCGCTGCAGCCACTGATAGCATGATTCATTTCATCATTATTGCCATCATTGTCAGTCTGTCCTCCCAACAGCGTGTGCATCAGGAAGTCAATTCAGGTCATTGAAGTGAGACGCTCTACACTCACGTTGTTGTGAGGACAGACTGACATGACAAGTTTATGTCAATCCAGAGAATCATTTTCAGTTGCCTCCATTTCATTAAGCAGCAACTAATTAAAATCTGGAAGCCAAGGTTGTATAATCGTGAAAATTTTACTTTAATGATGATTCTTCACAGCTTAGCAGCAGTTTTCACACAACACCCACAGTCCTCCTCTGGTATTCAGAGAAAACTAAAAGTAATTGCCAACATCAGCAGTAAGGTGGTGATGTACCTCCTTGTTGACTCTGCGGAGCTCAGTGTTCTTGTTCAGCAGCAGCAGTTTCTCCTGGTCAGTGGAGGTGACTGTCATACTCTCTGTGATCAGAGTGACTTGCTCTTCTGTGGACAGCAACCTGTCACCCACGGGACTCACATCTTCTGTCCTGCACGCACACCGACACACGCATACAGTTTATACATGGACACATACACAGAGGATATGTGCCATAAATAAAGTCATGATGATGAAGATTAGCAGTGGGTTTCCAATAATAAGCAAACACTTGTACGCACACAAGAACGTCAGGGCACTTTTGAACACCCACTCGCATAGAGTGCACTTACAGAGAATCGAATTGGAGTTATTATGCACGCCCACGCACGCACACACATGCATGCACAGTCACATTATGCACTCAAGACACTCAGATACACACACAGAGTGGTGGATTTTTCTGCATCTGCTACTCTGGCCAATCAAAATCTCTGTTTACTATCTGCTATGTATTTGCATATCGATAGCCTCTGGAAACAATGTGCGATGATCCCTAGAAAATGTTGATTTCTATTAAACCTCTTGGAGAAAAGGAAAATATTTGCAAATATTAATTAGTCAAACCAGCTTCCTTTCCACCAGCCCTGTTGTGAGGTCTTGTCCAAAAGGAATAGCTGACAGAGAGAAAGCGGAGGGCCCAGGGGGAATCAGCTCAGGGAAGAACACACAACTCGGCATGTTGCCCCCAGGGCTTCTTCACACAAACATACTGTAGGACTACTGTAACCTCAGAGAGCTAAGTGCTACAAAGAATCGATCACCTCTGATCCCCCTTAAGGCTAAACTCCCCCACAAACACATGCTTTCATCCACTTACGTAGTGTCCTGCTATGTGAATACTGGTGTTACACAATTTCAGAGAGTTATATTCACAGGTCGAGGCAGTACAAATAGGAGGATGTAGGTCTATTTAGGGCTAAAATGACATTTAAGTATTTAGCAGTTTTCACAACATATAGTCCCCTGAGGCATCATGGAAATAGGAAATTAAAAATGACGTCTTCTTTGGCTTAAAAATATACTGTCATGTCATGTGTCATGGCTATAGCAAGCAGTGGGTATAGCTTAGTATAAAGACAGGAAATGAGGGGAAACAGCTAAAGTGGCTCTGTCCAAAGGTAACAACAAGAACGAAAAACCCCAATTAGTTGCAGATTTACAGGGTGTGTGGGACTATTTCTCGCCTGGGACCAGTGATTTTCTGGAGTTTCCACTGTCTGCGTGGCAATGTTGCAGGGATGACCCCCTTGTAAGAACACAACTTGTTTTTACACTTTGACTCTTGTTAAGGGGGCTACCAGGCTAGCTGTTTCCCCGTGTTTCCAGTCTTTATGCAAATCTAACCAGCTGCTGGCTGTAACTTTATATTTTTCTACGTAGCCTACAGACATAAGAGTGGTGTCAATATTCTCCTCCAACTCTTAAAAGGAAAGATAATTAGTATTTCTCACAAAATGTTGAACTATTTCCTTAAGAAAACTACTCAAAGTGCCTGGATAATGTTCGAAAATGTGTTTTCAAGATCAAAACAAGGGCATTTTCAGAAAAGATATCATCCAAGAGGATATGTTCTCAATGAAACATATTGCTGTCTGTGTGAAACCTACATTAGACATCATACATCAGATCATCAAAAAAGGGTTATTACATAAAAGGAAAGTTGACCCAGAGTCAAAATATTTGTCTAAATCTACACTCCAAATCATATGTCATCCCTATGGATTCAAGAAGGCAGGAAAGGGCTTTAACGAAGGTTGTTTATGGCCACTAATGAGGGAATCATCCACAATGAACCAACACGGTCTGCGGTGTAGGATGAAGGCAGAAGCTGAAATGAAATGAAATGGAGTCTAATTCTAGTGGCCAGTATGAGCACAAACTGTTAACATGTACATGTCCAATACCGTCTTGGCAAGTCAGCAATGTATTTTCAGCCATCCTATTGGGACCACACCATGCTCAATGTCTCTCTGATCCGGAGCCTCTTCTCTATCAGCTCCTCTGACAGCCGATGTACACTGTGTGACCCAGTTTTACAAAGTTTTCAGTCGTATGCCGTCTTGGAAGGACACCAAAATGCCACCGCCTCCCGCAGCAATATGCTAATTCACTGTCATGGCATATGATAAAAAGAGAGATAATATCTTTCCTTCTTGCTCATGGCAACTCTGACAAATATCACTCTAGATACATCTCTGTGTGTAGCTGGTTGATGGCTGTAGTCGGATCCCCTTACGCAGGAGAGAAGTGTGAAGTTTCACAATTCAACATGGATATTTTAAGGCAGACCAATCATTTGTGTAGGTAGTGTGGCCACGGCACTTACCAAGTGTGCCCACATTAAAAACCATTACTATTAGTCACTTAAATATAAAAGAAATAACATTATATAATAGGTATAATTTCACTAGTTTTTCTTTTTTTTCTTTTTACATGTTGGTGTGTCAGTGTTGTGAAAAAATGAACTGAAGCCTCTTTATGACCTCACTGGAAACTCCACAGCCACTATTAATTCCTCCGCTCACTAAACTGCTTCATGAAACATCTCTCTCATTATCAGAAATACAACTTCTCTATGCTGACAGTTTCATACTGTTTCTACAATTTGATCAAATTGATCAGTCTCAAACTGTATATCTAAGTAAGCTTGGTGAACTAAGAACATTAGATTATATTAATAATTGTTGTACTTAATACAATACTTATACAATAAATACCACCTTATTACTTACTGTATAAGATTCAATATTTTTTGTCACTCAGTGAAATGTTGTTGCAGTTGGTAGAGTTCTTACATTAAAATTGTTACATATTACATTATTAGGGGTCCCTGTTTTTGTGCCCACCCTGGTTGTGTAGAAATAAGAACATACATACCACAATGCTTCAGCTGGTTTATGACTCTGTTGGCTCTGAGGGAGGCTGCTGTCTCTCTTGGGTGAAGTACCTTTCTGTGTTTCTGCTGCCGCTGATGAGGATGATAAAGATGAAGAAGATGACAAAGACAGCACGTCTCCATCCATGGCTGATCGAATCTTCAAATCCTCATAAAGTCTCAAACAAAATTAAAGCTCCGCTGTACGCACGGGTTGAAGCTTTTTTACATAAATCCTCCGCTAAGCATGAGGTGGAAAGTAAATACTGTCGTCAGTTCTGATACGTAGCAAAAGAGGAAGTTGCCGAGACCAAGAACCACATGATGTGAAGTTTAGAGAATAGGAAGTGACACAACCAAACTGTTTCAGCTTTATGTTAAAGAGGGCCTGTCCCTCTGTGGTGAGTTGTCTAAACTAATGTACCTCACACAATGTGATTGTAATTTTTACTGAGTTGACATTGTGTTTAGTTTTGACATTATTTGGAGAATCAGGGAAACTCCACTCAGGGGTAGGAAGTGTTTGTATGAGTGTGCATGCCTGTGTGTGTGTGTGTGTTTATGCTTGTGTCTGTGTCCTAGGAGACTGTTGCTTGTTAGCTGAGCTGTTGTGTCTTATGTTTTCAAATGAGCAATTCAGGAACGAGCTGAGAGGTGGGGAGCTGAATAGATATGCATAATTTCTGCATGATTATATATTGCAGGATGTGTAATTGATAATAATGGTAACGCATACATTTATTCATGACAAATAATGATAGGGTCAAGCTGATTGCATTCACCACTCTGCTCATTACTGGGATTGAGGGAAGTGGGCTGCAACAGGTTAATTAGTAAATCACATGTTCATCCAAGGGACAATCAAGTAAATTAAAGGATTTTTGTTAATTATGTTCCCCTTAGTCAGGCTAAGCTGTCTTTTATTAACACTAAGAGAATTAATTTGCCAACCTCGTTTGCTACATGTTCTCCTCCACCGACTGAGTCCAATAGATTCAAGGCCACTTTGGGTAATGCCTGAGAAAAATAGCTTCCAAATGAAAAAGACAAGAGCTGCAGTGTATAAAAATATCCTGCTCTAAAGCTCGTGAAGATCCCTGAAAGTTTATGTTCAGTCAAAAGATGGTCAAAAGTAAGTAGAAACAAATCTCCTGGGTCTTAACAGTAAAACTTGTCAGCAACACTATTTCCTTTTTTTTTTATTAGGAACCATATGATATTGCGCGTTTAGTATCATAAAAACAGAAAGAGATTTTTTGCCATGATGCAGCATGGCTTTGAAGATGGCAATGTACGTCTGTCGGTTGGTCTACCACTTTGTTTCAGACTGAAATATCTCAACAATTATGTAATCCTGCAATAATTACAGTGTCATCACCTTTTAAGCTGATATGGCAAACTTCTCATCAAACACTTGCTTATTTACACATCCAGCGGTTACAGAGCAAAATTACCATTCATTTGCAGTCATGTTTCTTGTCGCCTGGCAAATGTGAGTCCAATATTCACTCTCCTCCTGGCTCCTTTCTTGGTCACTACCAACTCCTGAGGGAAATATCAGGCTCTTAAGCTGCTAAACACTCCACTATGTTCACCAGCTAGTTGCTAACTGTGTCTGTCTGCTGACTGCTGCTGGGCACAGTGGAGAGAGAAAGTGAACCAAAACAGTAGTTACGGTTCGGACAGCTAAACAAAAAGCTGAAAATCTGAGTGGAGCTGCAGATTCAGGCGATAATTTTCTGTAAGATCATTGCAGCAACCACTTCTTTCACATTGTCATTTGATACTTTGTCATTATAAAAATATCAATTAGCCTGTAGACGCTTCAATTAAATGCCATGACATTTTGTACAGTTATGTAAGGAGGGCGAATCCTACTGACTTCTGGCATTCTCTGCTAAAAGCTGAACTGAAACCTCAAAAACTACTGACATTAACCTCAGCTTAGTGCTATTTAGCAAATGTTAAAGCATGATAAAGTAAGATGATGAACATGATAACATACTAATAATCAGTATGTTGACATTGTCATTGCGGGTTAGCATGCTGACATTAGCACTTGGCTCAAAGCACAGATGTGAGTATTCAGTCTGAGTGACCTACAATGAGAGGTAAATTTTTTTTTTTTTTTTTTTTTTTTTACAAAGCTTTAGTTTGCGAATAAATATAAGCTATGTGAAAAAATATAGGCGGTATACAAAATGTTAAAACTTAATGTTTAATTTTTGGTTTTGTAACTGGAGGATGTCTTCGTACATTTTTTATGTTTCATTTTTTATGTTTTCTGTCTTGTAATACTATATGTCAAATGTTTGGCATGAAATGGGACTACACACTCATCACACTAAATTACTGATCGTGGCATCCCTCAGTTCAGAAAACAACAGATCATTAAAATAGGTTTTTGACTAGTGGAAAAAGTAAACCAAGAGTTTGAATGGAGTGTTGTTATCTACTGTGGTATCCAGGGGGCTGAGTCAAAGTTGCTGTCATTTTCCCATCTGATGCACCGCCATGAGATAAAAGCGGGAGAGGCAACAAAATGTGTCGGTTCTGCCCAGCGGCTCTGACTTGCTCCAGTGATTCCATTCACATGCCTGTGCCATCTATCATGGCCGCCAGTCAGAGTATTGCTGTGCCAAGCAGAGACTTTGCTGGGAGGCCCAACGAGGAAGTAGCGATGCAGTGCCTTTATTGACCCAAGCCTCTGTCGAAGCCAAGGACAAATGGGCTTCTGCTCCATGGGGGGATTGATTTTTAGTCTAACAGGAGATCCTGGAGAGGAATAGAGAGTGTCCCACAAAGTGAGGGTACTGCCGCTCCTGTACGAGCCTGAACATACAGTTCTTCACTAGCTAAGAGGAAAAAGTCTGGGTTTGGGGGACTGGACCTAATAAGCTGTACCAGTTGCTTCACCTGTGTAGTCTCTAGCTGCAACAGTTTGGCCGACTCAACGATTGAATTTGACCAACTGTTCCAGGTTCAGTGACTGAGTGTATCTCTGTATGTTTTAACTAATAGCTATTAAAATAAATGAGCACTGGTGTGTGTGTATGTCTGGACTGCATGACTGTGGGTGAGTGGAGTAGAGAATTTTTTTGTCAAAGCTTAACAGCGCACTAATCCTTCTCTTCCTCTTCTTCCTGGTTTACCACAAAGGGAAAGGACCCTTCACCAAACTTGCAGTCACTCACACTAGGGTTGGGCGATCAAGATCTCAAATCATGGATGATCTCTCTTTGGCATATGATCTACTTTTCAGATGAATAGTAGATATTTAATTTTAAAAGTTAAATTGCTGCTAACCAGTCCATTGTTAGCCAGCCCACTAACTGCCATCTGCTCTGTAGCCATGGCGAGCTTGGCGTAGTGGCGTAGCGGCAGTCCATCCATGGGACGAGGAGCCTGCCTGCAGGCAGGGAAACATGAGGCGGGATGAGCCGGGATTGAGCTTTCTAAGTAAAACACTTACATATAGCACCCCATAAATAAATAATAGGGCTGTTCAAACAAACACTCCATATGAACTAAGCAAAAAATGTGATTGGATGTGACACAATTTGTAAAGAGAAGACAGTGTTTTGAGTGAAGAGTAGCGACAAACAATCCAAGAGAAGCATCAAAGCAGCAGAAAGGTACGAATCACAACTTCCAGTCAGAACTTTCAGAATAAAATCAGAGCGGAAAGAGGATTCAGAAATTTGTGAGTTGGGCCTTTAGCCTTGAGTTGATGTAACAGGCTTTGGGTCCAGGAAACCATATGCACAACTAATCATATGATCACAGGAGTTCAATTCTACCTGTATAGATTGTCAAATGATCTTTTGGCCAGATCGCCCAGCCCTAACTCCTCACACACACACACACACGCACGCACGCACGCACGCACGCACGCACGCACGCACGCACGCACACACACACACACACACACAGATTTACACAATATAACAGCCTTCCCCTGCTTTAACATTAGCTTGAAAAGAGAAGCTTACCAATGGAAGGAGCAGAAACAGTTAAAAACACAAAGAAAGCTTTGAATTCGCTTGAGTAAGGTCAGAGTATCTCAGCTGCTTGCAGTGTTTCATTAGAAATGTGCTGCACTGGGCTTCAGCGACAGCAGGAAAACAAACAGTGGTCAATGTCATTGGTAAATAGAAGACAGTTTTAGCTACAGATAAAGAATACAGCACTTCTAAAATGATATTGATCACATGTAATGAGATGCAGCTCACTTCTTCTTTCTAAAAGCTCTACCCCACCACAAAAATATTCACACAGACCTTGGGAGATTTATTGACATGAAAAGGACTACTGCAACGTCAGAGGCAAAAGAGACTGTTAAAGATAAAGCTTGAAGTCTTAACATGCAGGAAGGTACAAGGGCTATAACAGAGAGGGATCAGCTTTTGCATCAGAACAATGAAGGTTGAATTTATAAATATGATAACTTCAGAGCTCTATCCAGTTTCATGATAAAAAGTGACATGAGGAACATAAGAGGTTTAAATGGGGAACTAAGTCGGCTGATGTTATGGAGTACTAGTGAATACTGTTTGTGAAAAAAGTTAGCTGTACAAAGACTGTACAGAAAGTACAAAGTAGCTCCAGAGGGAGCTGCATGAAATCTGATAAATCCAACAGAGCTGTTGGCGGTCATGCCACATTGTGGGTCATGTAGGCATTAGGCATTTTTTTTTAATGTCAACCTGAGTCTGACAGTGTCGTAGGAGTGCAATGCTAAATCAGTGGAGTACTCATTTAAAGGATATGGTTGACAATATGTTATATTCTAATTATCAACAAAATCAAAAATAAATTGATCAAGACAAGTATTCTCTTTGCACCCAAAGCCTGATCTATCTTTTTCCTCTGTGCCATGTAAGTAATCAGTAATTCAACCCATTGCACTGGCTGAACACTGAGTCACTTGCACATACCCTATCCTGCTGGTGTAAATATTCACTAGAGAAAAAAATGTGTATAATCCCTTAGCTAAAAATAATCCTCAAAAACGCATACTGTGTGAGAAACATTTCCTAAAAACTACAGTGCCCAGCTATTTTGAAAATAACTTCAGGAAGAGAGCCTCAGACAAACTAGGGAAGTTAGAAAGTAGTAGTCTCTTGGACTTGTGACTTGTTGTTTTTGATTTTTTAAAATGATTTGCTGACATAACAAAAACTAGAAACACCAGTCTTATCCTGTAAGAACTTGAATTGTGCTTATGTTTTCTATGGAGCAATTTTTGCTGTTATTAGTGTCTCATCTGATTCCATATGAGAAGCTCTGTGTTGCAGAAAG